CGACATCCGTTTACCGCTCAATTTTTAAGCGACAATTTCCAATGTTTTTAAAAGACTGTTCTAAACTCTTACGTAAAGTTTGTTATTTTATTAGTATTTCTGTCATTTTGTATTTAATTGTGAAGAGGGTAAGAAAGTAACATTTAACAAAAGCTAACAGTCGATAACCGATTTTCTAATATAAATTACATTGCGCGTCTCTTCCAAATCGCCACTCGATTATTATGTTCTTGGTAAAAAATCTTCGTTCCTAGTAGAGAGAAGATGCGCCTTTCGAACACGTGTATACATTCTTTTCGATTGTAGATTTCTCTCCCCCCCCCCTCTCTCTCTCTCTCTCTCTCTCTCTCTCTCTCTCTCTCTCTAATCTCCAAGGCCGCAGTACAGTGGTTTATGTATACATGTCACTGACATCGCGATAAAGTTGACGAACAGCGTCACCGTGGCCACGGAAATTCATGCCGTGTCGTGAATATTAATCGATAGGAATGTCAATGTTCGTAAATCGAAATTCATCAATAAGCCGTAATTTCCTGTTATCGGGGAATCTTGTCTGGCCCGTTTTTCGTTGACGAGAACCGTGCCCACCAATCATTGAAATCATTATCCCCTTATCGAGACTCGTTCGAATAGATACACGATGTTCTTATCGATAAGCCACCGTCGCGCCTCTAATCAGCTATTGGCAATCAATAAAATTGACATTTCGCTCCTTTATTATCTTCTTCCTCGCCGTAAACGTTTTATTATACGCTATTAACACCAAGAACATCCTTCTGATTCTTATTCAACTCTCTACCCCTCTGCTTTATTCCTATTTTAGGCTATCTAATTTAACTTGATCCTTTTTTCGGCTTAGCCTACCTAACGTTTTCTTATTACGATCTCAAAGCGTTTGATGTTTGTCGCAAGACATTGGATGCATTTGATAAGCTTCGTTGCTTTCGAGAGTTGTCGAAATTGTAGGGCATCGATAAATATACGCGCGGCTGTATCACTGTTTGCTCCATTTCTTTCAGTACCAAGCAGTGCCGAGCTCCTGGAGCCTCTTCAGCTCTTCTTATCGCGACTACTTAAGTAGGCTATCAGAGATGCCATTAAGTGTACACAGACCGAGCTTGCATTGTCGCAACGAATCGTTCGTTCAGAAACCAAAGAGGTCCCAAAATATTTGCGCACGACAGAAAGGGGGAGAGGGGAAAAAAGGGACAGATGTCTCGCTGAAGATTGTACGTCAGTAGTCTTCGGCAAGAGGAGTTACATGATTACAGATCCGTGTAATAGTTGTAAGGGGCAAAGTACAATTTCCGATAGCTAAAATCTATAAAATAGAAATAGGTAATATGACGTGGACCAACAGGGGGATTTTAGACAGTTGGTACTTGCGCGGGGACATGCGTGAAATACAAATAAAATGTAATGCGAAAATAGAGACTTGGTGTTGAGTGTGATAGAAGGCGAGGGACTGCCACAGATTTTGAGAATAATATATTAGCTTGCGATTATTACGTTTTTACGCTTACTTTGGCCAACTAGTATTGTAATTAACAGGCAATTCGTGACAAACGCGGAATTCCTGACAAATTAAAGAGTTTAAGTACCTTATTTAATTTTACGCCCTACTTCGCTCTAAAGTTTGTATGTACCTTTCATCGTCAAGTCAACATCAACTGAATATCGCGAGCGATGTACTTTTATTTTTCATCGAATCTCCGTGTGACTCGGCATATTCGTTTGACTCCCCCGTTTGAAAGGGAAATTAAGCGTCCTTTCAAACGTTTCCAGCAATCGAATTCCGGCATTGGACACGATTTGCCATTAAAAACCCACGTTTCCACTTGGTCATAACTCTTTCATGAAATTCTATCGTGCATTGCATTCGTGACTCGACACGCTTTTCAGGCATCTGCACGTGATATCTAATTTTAGACGTGCGGTATCTACGGTTCGATCCCGCTACTTATCATAGAATTCGAGAGTTTCTGTTGTAGAACCTCGGCCACCTGTATTATTTATATAAAATTCTATTATCCGTTATCCGTGCTATCTGCGGAACAGGGCTGTGTGTCCGGGTTTTTCCCCCCGCGGTGTTTACGCTCCTCCGCGAGGACTGTCGATCGAAGATTTATGCAAAATGAATACTGAAACGGAGTCAACTCGGGGCTCGTACCGCGCCCGGGCGGGGGTGCCCGAGGATCGATCGGGCATCGATCCGGCCATCCCGTCCGCTCCACTCGTCCTTCCGTCCGCTCGTCCTGGTAACGAATATATCCTTGAGACTCGAGAGGAGAGGCGCCGTAGTTAGCGCGCTCGCGCTCTGTTTGCCGTGTAATAGTAACGATGTTTATCGATCCTGTTATCGAGGGTACATTCTCTCTCTCTCTCTCTCCTCTCCTCTCCTC